GTTGAGCCTCACCTCTGACACGAAGAATGAATCGCTGGCATTTGTCTTCTACATTTTGGGAGCAGTTTGAAGGAAAACAACAGTAATAAAATCCACGATCCGTATAATTCACTCCAGATATGGTCAGAATTGATGGGCCAAATGTGGCTTGATGAATCTTGTAGTGTCCACCTGATCCATCTGACAAGAAACACAGCCAAAGTAAAGTTATATGGATATATCAACAAAGTTGAAGTGGTAAATTGGCCACCGTAACGATTCCAAAAGCTGACGTTTCGAGCGTTAGCCCGTTAGTCCAAATTATTTCGTTACTCCCACCGACGCAGCCCCAAACAGTTTCTTTCGAAACTATCAGCCTTTATTCAAGGTAAAGTTAGACAAATTCATTTAGTCCAGAACAGATCATTTCTCTGACTGTCTCTGTTTGATCACAAAAAATAAATAAAGATAATAAATAACTTATATTGGCAGATGATGACCAATCTAGAAAGATTGTGCTCAGAACTGTTTTTAAGGGGRCCTTGATGAAATGAGCATCTTTAAAGCTTACTTATGCAAGCCTGAACAGTGTCTTTATTCTTCTTCTTCACCTTCCATTCTACCTCCAAAGGAAATCCTTGTGCAGCGCACTCAAATGACACATCGCTTCCTTTAGAAGCCTTCTCTTCAATGTCTTCCTTTGGCTTGGGAAGCCAAGGTGCAACTAGAATAAATCAATGACCAGGTAAGGCTTGAATTGTCAAAGTTAGGGGTGCAATCTTTGATTAACGACAAGACATACATGCACATTTACCTTGGCTTACAAGGAAAAAATGGTAGATAGAGATCGACATGCCGTCTATGTACAGTACATGTAATGCAAAAATTGCGCGATCGAAAATTCACCAGGACACTGTGCTGAGTAGCCTAAAAACTCTCTGATCTCTAAAGCTGAATGAACCTTCCCAGGTATGTTGTACCTAGGAAAATGTCTCAGCCGACCAAATGCTTTTCCTTCAACTCTCAGAAGTGACTGTAATGTAACCTCTCCATACAAATGTAAAACTTAGTCTATTCAGCAAACAACTGAAGCAAGATGTTTTTTCCTTCTCATGACAAGAGTTAAACAACAAATATTCTGGGATCACTAGGTTCATACAAAGCAATTTATCAGTTTAAAGGTGGTAGCTATGATGTAATTATAACAAATTCTCTGAAATAGCTATGTTGAGAGATTTACATTTCAAATCAGATAATCAGTTCCTGGTACAGGTATTTCTAGAATTATAAAACTGTGTTTTCATGATGGGTACTTTACTTTCTATTTAATAATGGTATGGCTGTTGGCAGTCAGGGTACTTTACTTTCTATTTAATAATGGTATGGCTGTTGGCA